ATCTCATTGAGGAGTTGGTTAACGGTAATATGTTATGTTTATTACTTGATGATTATATTCTTGATGTTTTAACTATTTAACTAACTGTTTTCCTTTTTGTTCTTAGATTTCTTGGATTCAAGTCCATTCAATTAACGTAAGTAAGATGATGGACTTGTTATTGATGCTTAAAGTGTAAATGGTAAATCTGGTGGTTCAGTGTTGGTGACAGCTTAGTGTTTGAAACTTTGAATACATTTGTTACTACTAAATATGATTTTATGTGATAGATTGCTATACTCGTGGAGTATATGATACTCCAGATATTCTTAGTGATATATCTCTAATTAGACCATGAATTAAACCAATTTTGTGGTATGATACTATAGCCTAACCTGTAATAGATAAATCTTGGAACCTTATTCTCTAAACCTAAACTTGAAGTTCAATTTAATAGAAAACAATAATTAACATTTTAAATTTGTCGGAGCTCGTTGAAGTACATCTAATGATCGTATCACTTGGAGTATGCTATATATCAGTCTTATGTTATTTTACATTTGATTTTTTTTGTACATAGTTGATGTTGCTGCTATATGTATAACTAACTATTGCTGAACTGGAGATGATAGTTTCTGGGGTCTTAGCGTTGATGAATTAGTTTGTAGACTGTAGAGTGTTGAACTCTTAGCTTTAGGTGCTGGAATTATTTATGAATGATGTAATGAAGACAATATTAAATTATTAATAGTATTATATTCCCCACCCTATCTATGATGGCTACTAGAAACTCACTTGCTATATCTATCTACAAATATATAATAGTGGAATGAGAAAATATGAATGGTATATTCATTTTCATAGTTATTTATTTCCTGCTTATTTACAAAAAATATACATCAGTGTTGGGATTGAAATCAAGATTTTGTTAGATAAAAATAAGAATTATAATCAATTACACTAAAAAAATTTGTTGTAACTTACAATATTTAAATAATATAGGTAGCAAAATCTGAAAATTAGAAGAATTTTTTCGACCACAGTTAGCTAGCCCTCTAGGTCTCCCTTACGTATTTTTTTGTGTTTGATAATTTGATTTTCATATTTTGATTAATTTAATTCGATCTTAAATTAATTTCCTTATATCTTATTAATGGGAGGATAATCTGAAAATCGTAACCCAAATATCATTGGTTCAAATATTACATATCGAATTACAATATTAAATATGCAGAAGCGATGTAAAATTGTTAAATTAATATTAATCTGTAGAACTACTATGAAGGAACAATATTTTTGTGCAAACAATAAGTGATTGGTTCTCTGAAAATTTTATTTTGATTTGCCACTAAACCTTTACATTTCTTGCTAATCTGGCATGGTTCGACCTAACAATCATGAGACATAATTGGGTTTGATGTACTAGTTCATTTCATCATTGTTCGGATGTGTTAATAATTTTCTAGGGCATGACAAGTAATCAAGTGAAGATGAATCTGATTATAAATTTTGATTCTTTAGATAAATAGAACTTTTAAAAGCATTAACTAATTAGTAATTATACACAGTTGGTTGGATGAATTATTTATTATTTATAATAATCAGTTTATTCATCATATTTGTGATATTTGGAAATCTTTTATGTATGATTTGTAAGTATCATTATTATTTCTTGCATTAGTGGCGATTGATTGAAATGTATTTCATCGGATAGTCAAAGTTTAGTATTGAGTGTATTTATTGATTGTCAATTACATTGGTATTCAGAATTGGTACAAACTTATTTGTGAAAATGAGTATAGTTGTGTGATTTAAATTTTTTATTTCTGGTAAAATATTTTTATGTTCTCTAAAATTAAGTAATCATGTCCATTGACATCAAATGTATATCACTATAATATCATACTCATAGTTGTTGTATTATCGCTATCATATTTTTCATATCATGATCTTACCGTTATGGTAATTTTAAGGGTAAATACAATATATTAGCCACAACTATTATGAAGTGGGGAATTATAGCCACAACTATGGAAAGTCAAATTATTAGCCAAACGTTAACTATCTGTTAACAATTTCGTTAGTAATACTCACTAAACTTTTATGTTTTCAAGTTATAAATTAAAAGCATTCCGACGTGGCCGATGACGTGGCCTTCTCTGTCAAAAATTCAATAATAGTAACAGACAGTTAGCCATATCTTGACCCGCAACAATATTTATGGCTAATAATTTGAATTTTCATAGTTGTGGCTATAATTCCCCGCTTCATAATAGTTGTGGCTAATATATTGTATTTACCCTAATTTTAATTGCACATCATATCACTATCATTAGGGGTGGAAATCGGTATGGTATCGGTATCCCAATACCAAATACCGAATTTCACCCTAAAATCAATCCCAATCCCTAAATAATTTCAGTATCTCAATCCAAATCCCTAAATATTTTGGTATCCCAATCGGTACTTCTGTATCCCAATCGGTATTATCGAATACAAAATTAATTACCTTTACAATTAATAATTAAATATACAAATTAGATTTGATTGTTTAATATAGGACAAAGAGACTAAACAAAGACTCTTGAGTTTGGCTAGAGCTAGGATATGGATAAGGAAAATGAAGGAGAGCTGACATCTCAAATTTTTTACATTGGTAATTTTTAATTTGAGAATTGGAGGCTGAGAGAAGACTAATACTAGTGTATGCTTTTTGGTGTTATGAAAATAACAATAGATTGGTGTTGAGGGTTGTGTAGTAGTGTATGTGAGAGTCTAGTTGAGAGGATATAATACACACTAGCTTATATTTCAGTATTGTTTGGTATTTTGGTATACACTGATCCCAATCCTGTAGTCCCTAATACCGAATAACAATTGAAAATGAATCCCAATTTCAATCCCAAGAAATAATACGTGTATTCGGTAATACCAAATATAGACAAATTTGGTAAGGTATTCAGTAAATCCCAAATACCGGTACCAAACTTCCAGCCCTAACTATCATATCATGATATTATCATTATGATAAAGTGATACTATCATGATTTGATAATGGGAAGTCATCAAATTATTTTGTTAAACATAAGGTTTCATACCAACATCATATCATTTTCATATCATGATATTATAATTATATCATATTTAATTATATTTTGATATCACATTGATAGGATGTCATCAAATTATTTCTATTTTTTATTCTGGGTGCTTTACCTTATTGGGTCCAAGAAATGGTGCATAATCATGGGTGCACAACTCTGGCATAGATCTCAGGGGTGAGATTAAAAGATTTTTTATTTTCTACTTTTTAATTGGATTTTATCTTCTTTGTTTTAACTTGGATTTCAAAAAAAATTGCATTTGGAACAAGTTCGTTGTAATCTACAAAATGATATCTATTGTCAATATATTTCGAGAAAAATATTTGCACAACTCTTTACCACCCTAGTACCACTTTCGTTTTTAACTCAAATTTTGAGAATTTTTATTCATAATGAACAAGTTCATCAAGATATATTGGATTTACAAATCTTTTAGGAGAGAAATTCAGGACCATATATATCATTCTGGTATAAGATGGTAACTGGTAGTACATGGTGATAAAAAGTGGTAAATGTATATTCCTAATACTATATATACAAACATTCTATACTCTGATATATTTATAGCAACCATGATACACTTTCATATGATTTTGGTATAATTTTAAGCGCTACAAAACATTACCTCATGGTATGAACTGATAATAAATGTCTCTATTTTTTTTTTCTTTCTAAAATATATCAGAGTAAATGCCATTTTGAAGAGTACAAAAAAATCTGATTTAAATTACAATTCAAAACAAGAAAAAAAAATAGCATGTTAAATTAGTTGAGAAAAAATTAGATGTCTTCCATAAATGATAAATGTAGGATTATGGCCTTAGGTTGTTGATGCTATCCGCGCCCAGTTTATTGTCCACATTTGGCTCGATCCATGGTGTGAGGCCAACATCTAGGATGCCATTACAGGAGTGCATTTAGGCGCGTCTTGCATTGCCAGTAAAACAGTCCCATTAACTTCTTGGGGTGATGCTAAAACCTTCCTTTCAATCACTTCAAGATCACCACAGGATCATGAGAAAGTGAGTCTAGTATGAGAGCAGACCCGGGCATACGATCATCAAATGTGATTCAAGAAACGATCACATCAGACGGACCAACAAAACAGTAACAAAGCTAGGGCATATCTGCTAAAGAAAACTCACCATTAAGCTAGCTTGAGCTCCAGACCAAACCGCTGGCAACACAGAACACAGTAGCATACCTTTTAACATTTACAGCTCCAGCATGGGAAATGGAATGACATGCGCTAGAACATATAAATATGGTATGGCTCAGAAATACATCACGTACAGGACCTATTCCCACTAGCCACTCCAGAACAGAGCTGAACCTCTCAATTCACATACTACATGCATGTAATTCCAGGCTCAAGATAGAGAAAGATGAGCAGGAAAGCAAAGCAGTTTGAGCACATCGCCCAGCCTCTGTCTGTACCAAAGTATGATCATCATCACATCATTTGATTAACACCAAATTTTCCCTGGCAACACGCAGACAGTTCCACCATATAATACTATACTAAATGAAAACATAATAGCAGTAAACAAACTAGAAGCTATATATGATCAAAAAGTCAGTATGCAAATTAGGACTTCACGAAAAATAATGCAAAAAGAACTCTGCTGGCCTTAGATTCTCATTTATATACAGAACATCTCTTAACCGTGCACTCCAAAAGCAAAATCAAAGAGTGTGGGAAAGAACACTTATTAGTAAATCCTGTATGGGCTGTATGAACAGAGTAAAAATCATATGGAAACTTAAGGCAAGTGAGGAAGAGCATAGTAGTACACATGATCAAGCTATGTTTTTCTTCCTTTTCTTTCATGTTTTTTTTTTATACTAGAGGGTGCAAATTTCATATAATACATGCAACTACTGTGACTACCTTCCCCGACAGGCAAGCCCTATCTATCAGCGAAGCGTCCAAAAAGGAGCAGCTAGGTATTCACACGGTGCCCTTTCAGGCAGAAGCTGCTCGGTTTTTGGGACCACAGGAGGTTTTACAGTTTGTTCCTTGTCCTGGAACGGAAATGAAAGAGAAAGAGAAAGGGAAGCAGACACACCGTCCTCCTGCTCTTTTTCGGCCATCACTTTCTCAACTGCTGGTAGCGATGGCGGTAGCTTGTTCTTGTCAGTAGTATTCTTGGCCACCATTCCAACAATGAAGGGCATAATTCCCGGTGGTTTTGTCTCACCCCCCAAAGCAAGATCAAGATTCGGCGAAGAAGATTGGTCCTCACGTCTCGATGCTGAGGACCCTCCCTTCCAGAGAATGGTGTGTGAATCCACAGGAAAGAAGTACCTTTCAGCAGCTGCTTTCGACGTATTAACATCTCTCTTAGAATTGCAGTCTCTTGAACTGTCATACCCATTAGGTCCTTCATCACTTAATTTTGGCTTCTTAGCTCGGTCAGCCAACCCAGTGTGAACCACATTCCAAGGCATGTCTTGACCAACTGTGCTATCAGGACTTTCGGGAGGCGGCATCTCAGAAAGATCCAAGAGCGGCCTTTTTCTAATATTAGACAAGAAATCTCCTTCCAAAGTTTCTATGTCCATATCCGTAATGTCTTCGTTCAAGTCTCTGATAACAGTAAATCCACCCCTATTGACACTGTCTGTTCTGCTAACTGCTGGCTCTTGAACAATGCTGCCTCTCACACCTAAATTTTGATTTTCAACCAGAACATTCTTGAGTGCAGACACGTCATCTTGGACATCTGAAGAGTCTGTATGCTTTTGTGCCTCCTGCTTGTAACAACTCTTGGACTCAGCAACAACAGCAGATGGTTTTTCCTCATCTGTATCCACTCTGCACTCTGGATCACCAATATCTACCTGCAAATAAAATTGACGTTTTGTACAAATCAAGGTCCATGGTATTTACACAATGAAACAAGCTGCCCAGGTATAGAAAGACAAGAAGTGAGAGAAAAGCTCATTTTTACGGTTTGAGAAAAGCTTATCTTTCTCTAAAACACAAGATTCAGATAGGCATGACTTGCAGTTTTTGTACATGAAAACTACATTTTTATAGGTGAAGACTGTGATAAGCACAAAATGAGCATATACCATGGCTGCCTAGTGGACAGATAGATTTCATCTTCACATTTTAAATTTCAATCTCTAGAATTAGTCTGACAAAAAACAAATTAACTAAATGTCGACTGTTTAGCTGATTTGTTCATTTTTGCACATCAATTTATATATATAATGGTCATAAGGTGAAATTATGGAAGTGTGTAACTCACAAAATTTATGTAATACTTGAAGGGCTTATATAAGTAAAGCATAAATGATTTCGGTACAAATTGATGCATTTCTTTGTTCATCATAATACAATTAAGAATTTAAGATGGAGATTTAAGAATCAAACAATAAAAATGAAAATAAATAGGAAAAGTGTATAGCATACCCCTAAAATGTCAGTGTATGGCAGGCTAACCATTTTTCTAATTATTTTTTAAAAATCAAATAATCAAAATGACAATAAATTGGGAAAGTGTATAGCACACCCCTAAAATGCCGGTGTGTGACAGGCAAACCCACTTTTATAATTACTTCACATTGCAAGATGTTCAAGGTAGTGTAGGGAAGCAAAGAAAGAAATTGTTACCAGGGTAGCACTAGCGCTGGTAGATTCCAGATTTGAGGTCGTACTGCATGTGCATGTCATTCCATTTAAATCAAGTCTACAATCCGGCTGCTCTGACTTAACAGCAAAGTCAACCTTTCTTTCATTTATGACCCCATTTTCCGATAAGCATGTATTCTTCTCCAAATCACTTGATGAAACATCTATATTGCAGCAATCATCAAATGCAGAAGTCTCATTATCTATGTATTCAGGCAAACACCTCACGACAGATAACGCATTCGTCACGGGCATTTCTTCATCTTGAACTACCAAATTCAAACTGGGGATAACTGGCTTTCTTAAGCAATCATAAGAACTTGACCTCCTTCCCTTGAACACGCCCCACAGGAAAAACATCATGTTCCAACCTGTCATAGATAAGAAGGCCTCAGCATTCTTCCTCAACCAAGATGAGAACAATACTTCGCCATGGTCCCACCCATGACTTGCAACTAAAACATGAGGCACAACTAATTGCAAGAAAAAATATTATATTTGGCACCTAAATTAACAGCAAAATACATATATGACCCAAGAAGAATAAACCACCAAGTACCTACTAGAAGCCTTATGTACAACAGAAAAGCTTTTAGTGAGCCCAAAACCTTGTGATATCCATGATGTTAAATCTTAGATGTGAATTTGCACAAGGCTAAGCATTTTTAAATTGTACTTAACATGAAACATACTCTGGATTTCATAAGTTATCTGGCCATTAACACAGCAGGAGTACATGCAAAAAATGTTACAGTAACAATTACGAAAAGGTAAATTCAGAAAATAAAACAATTGCAAAAGAAGATTGGGAAGTAATATAAGAATAACGATGAGGCATGAGCTAAGAAACAGGGAACCAAGCTAAAACATACAAGTTATCTGGCCATTAACACAGCAGGAGTACATACAAAAAATGTTACAGTAACAATTACAAAAAGGTACATTCGCAAAATAAAACAATTGCAAAAGAAGATTAGGAAGTAATATAAGAATAACGAGGAGGCATGAGCTAAGAAACAGGGAACCAAGCTAAAACATACAAGTTATCTGGCCATTAACACAGCAGGAGTACTTGCAAAAACTGTTACAGTAACAATTACGAAAAAGGTAAATTCGGAAAATTAAACAATTGCAAAAGAAGATTGGGAAGTAATATAAGAATAATGATGAGGCATGCGCTAAGAAACAGGGAACCAAGCTAAAACATACACCAATGAGAAATTGAAGACCAAGTCAACGGTAACAGGGAGCACAATACAAAAGTTTTGCAGGAGGATGGTTGATTTTAGATCGCTATCTTTATTACTTATCTATAATCACCAATGAATTGGGGGATAAATTCACTGCAGCAGATTATATCGCAGCAAACTTTATAACAAACAAATATCAGACATCACGTAAGCATATGGAGGTGGTGGTCGTGGCAACAATGCTGGAGTTATGAGACTAAGACAGCGCAAGTAATTCTTACGTTGAGAATCCTCAGGTAACTGAGTGGATGGGAATATCAAGAGTTCAACATCATCAAAGTATCCTTTGAAGGCCAAATCTCTTTTCATAGCATTGTCCAATAATCCCTTGTAGTGCTTCTTGTAACTGCATTGAACAATGGCAAAATATTAACACCAAGATATGACAGAGTAGCACATCTCCAAGACATGGACCTCTATACAAAAATATTTCATGATTCAGATATTTACCTTTCGAGGTCCTTAGCAAAAAAGTACAGAGCAATGTTATTTTCAGTAGCACCATTTTCATGGAACTGACTAGGCCACGTGCTTGACCGGGATACTTCGTCCAGGCTAATATTGAGAGGAAACTTGTTCACCACTTCAAGTACTTTGGGCGATGCATAGGCTGACAAATGCGCTTGAATGCCTCCATGAATATTTGTGATTTTCCCGCCCCTGTGCACCTCAAAGGTACCCCTACATGAAAGTATTGTAAGCAAATCTAGACCACTTCTTTAACCAGTAACCGAAACAATGAGCATCAGTATGCATTAAGTAGTGAACTTACTGCCAAATAAAGTCATGCTCCGGGATTGGCGACAACTTCTCAAGTGCGCTAGCAGAAGAAATAAGACCAGATCTCCAAGTGTAAGTGTTGGTCAAATCTGAGTCCGCTCTCAAAGGGAAAGCAGCAGTAACAGAGTGTGTATTAGATATCTTAGCACTTCCATAATTAGCTTGCTTTGTGGAGTCCTTGGACAAAGGCCCAAGAGTGGGTTTCTCTTCGTGTGATCGTTCGTTGAAGGTGGCTAATTTTGTCTTATTTGACCCTGAAAACTTAGCCTGAGGACTTATATGACAGTTCATATCCGCATTTGATGAGGACAACCCGTCAGATTGATCACTTCCATGCTTCTTTCTATATATACCAGGCCTTTTACGCATGGCAGCCTCAATTGCAGCTTTTAATTTACTGTCTCTATTAGTCTCATCACCAACACTTTTTGTAGCTGGTGTATCACTAACAGGAGCACGAGGACTACTGGATGTACAATTTTCCACAGAATGACCAGCTTCCTTGCACTTTTGACAAGTACCTGTTTCTTTTGGTGTTGCACCAGCAGGCCTCATACGACCGGAGCTGTCTCTAGTTTTCTCACTCTGGCTTGATGACTCCCGTGAGCACAGCAGGCCATCGTGTGAGTTATCACCAACAGCATTCAATGATTTATCTGCAGTCAAAGAAGTACTTGGTGAGGGTTCATCCTTAGGGCTAACTTGATTTAATTTCCTTTCAATGGAAATTCCATGAATAGAAGAGGCTCGAACTCCATCAGTTAACAACCTTAAATACGTCAACTTCTTTAAGAATAAAAAGCTTAACAACCAAACTTGTGAGAGATTAGATTTTGAAAGAAGCTAACTCTATATTGAGGCAGTGGAATAATACCAGATGTAACAGGCGCATCCCCATCTTTCCTGGCAACGCCAGCACTTGATCTAGGTAAGCTACTGAATTTTCCATCAGTTGCAGCACCCTTCAACTCTCTGTTGTTGGCCGCTGATGATAATGGAACACTGTCACTACGAGGAGTAAGCTTCTGCTCAAGCTTTGGTGTAGTGACTTTTGAACTTGATGCCACCATACCACGGGAAGGGCGATCCAACTTCGGCAAATTTCTTCTTTCAAATGCATTATGTTCTCGTGCTTGTCTTACCCCTTTAACATCCGGACCATGTGCAATTTTTGATGAGAGCATTTTCACTTTGGACTCAGTACGGCCAGAGCCTGTATGTTTGAATGACATAGATTTGCTCATCATTCGGCCTGGACCATCCTTACTATCCAGCAAGGAACTCTCTCTGCACATCTTGTGCATTTGTTGTACTTCATCAACAAGCTTTGATTTTGGCTTGGAACTAATAGTGCTGAAGGAATTGGACTTAAGTAAGGCACCTATACAAAGAAACAATGAACAAACCGTGTCAAAAGCTGCAAGAAACACATGATCATGAAAATCCTTGTAATGAGGAAAATTAAAGTACCCATTTCAATAAAAATCATCAGACTTGAATGGGATGCAACAGATACACAAAACAGTGGTACTATTAATTTCGCTGTGCAAGTTTAACTTGAGAATTCTAGTTCCCTTCTTACACTCTGCACGTACTTTTGCATGTAATATTATGCGGACCATATGAGGAAGAAACCTAAGTGGTAATCTTCCGGGGCATTTGAAAAGATTGTCAACAGAACATGATGTAACAACCCCCAGACACGCCTGACATAGTCTTCTAGAAGAAAACCATGACTGATTGACATTATGACAGATTATGATCTCCTCAAATTCCTACAAAATGAAGTATTATTCAATATCATACAAGATTATCCCCATTGTCTACACTCAACAAAGCCTAAACCTAACATTGTGTATGCACAGTTGCACAGCACGACTGAAAGCAACCACAAATGTGGCGGCCTTCCCTGCAGAGCCACCATAGCAATCATCCATTAAAAAGAACAATACAGTAGAGTGCTGCAACAGATCCTTAAGAGCTATTTCCTCCCCTCATTACTAATACTTTTCTCATGGAATTCCTTTCATTCCATACATCTAATTCCCATCTAGACATAAGTTTATGTCCTTAAGACAAACTCCAAGCCAAAGGTCAAGAGCAAATAAATTTTCTGTCCAGTGGCAAATGTGATCAATGAAGTGCAAGAATTATATGGAAAAGAATACAACACGGTTTGTCAGCAAGAAAATTAGTGAAGTTTTTTACCCTTGGGACTTTGAAGTCGTGGAGCAGTATTAGGAAACCGAGTGCTTTCAGGATCATTAATAGAGTGATTGCTTGGCTTTACTTTATCCTTGTCCGAACTCCTGGAAGAGCTGTTATAATGCAGTGTAGCCACTCTCTTAGGGCTGGATGGCTTGGGTGATCCTGAACCCATGTCAATAGCCTGCCTTTTTGAACTTGAGGTCATCTCAACAGTCTCAGAAGGCCTTTTCTTAAAGCTTTGTGAAGTTCCTTTATCTACATTCTTTTCATCTGAATATAAGCGCAACACAAATGCCATCAAGGACCCTTTTAGAGTATTTCACACTTCAGAAGAGCCAGTACAGATATCACTTCGGCTTTACCTTGCTTTTGTTTTTCGAGTTCTACAGCTAGGTTGCACTCTTCACATAGCCAATCGCCATCAGGAACTTCTAGGAGCATTTCCTTCATGCAATAGCTGACAAATACAAGAGTAATCTTGTGAAAAAAATGCTATATATTTGAATAAATAAATAAACAAAGTCATTCATAAAAATAATAAAAAACAGAGTCAGACAACAAGAAAGTACTGCACAAATTGCTTACGTGTGTTCCGCACCGTCACTGCACCTGCTACAAATTGCAAGTTTTTCCTCCTGGCCTGCATCCCCACAAATATCGCATACTTTTACCTGTTCCAAAGATGTTGAATCATTTTCAGGGAAAGATATACAAAATTTTGTTAGAGGGGACAAATACAATTGCACGGCCTTCATTATAACTTCAATCAATCCCAATAATAGAGAAGATAAAAGCTGAAAGAAACCTCCTTCAATCCCTGCATTTACTTCGCCTTCTTCAGCAACGACACACCCAATGAGTAAAAATGAAAAAGACAGGTCAAAGACAAATGCACGAACCCTTTTAGACTTCAGGACATTAAGATAAATCAATCAACTTCCGAAAATGAAACTGAACGATATCTTATAAGTGAGCATACTCTTCTCCAACATACGAACAACATTTACAAAACTCATTGTTAATCAACAGAAAGAATCTCCAATGTGATGTTGATCAACGTAGTACGTTGAGCATTACAAGTTCCAATCATGCACATAGCACTACCACCAACCATTAGCAGCCATCCCAGGATGTATAAGAGATGGATGCTTGCAGAACTGCCTCTAGTGAATTTCAAGTCTCAACCAGGCCATAGCACTACCACCAACCGTTAGCAGCAAAACCAGAATGCACGAGAGATGCACACTTGCATAACTGGCCCAAATGAATTACAAGTTAGAAAAACAGAAATAGAACTACCACAAACCATTAGCAGCAGTCCCAGGATGTATAAGAGATGCACACTTGCATAACTTTCCATAGTGAATGCATATGCAAGTTTCATCATTGACCTTTCAGAGTCACTGTGTTACTACACTCGCTCACTTCTCAAGCAAGCCTCAGACAGATACTTGACATCCCGCAAGTCCAAGAAATACATAGAAAATTAAGCTTTGGAAAAGAAAAAGAAAAAAAAACAAGTACTGACGCTAGAGATGCACAGTGAGGCACATGAAAAGCAATGCACACTTATGCTTATAAGATGTTCAACAAGAAAACATGAATATGTCTTACATCTTGTTCTCCAATTTCTGAGTCCTTACTCTCATTGGATTCCACGGGTGACTCTTGAACATCTGGTAATTCAACTGAGTCATCCACCTTCTGGTCTTGCCCAACCGTGGTAGAAGAATTTACACCTATTGGTTGGAGTCCACCATCATTATCAGTTTCTTCTTTGAACTCTTGACCGAGTTTACTTGAAACCTCTGAAGCGTCCCCCTGATTTACAATCCTACTTTGCGGATTGTTATCTGCACCATCGCTCATAGCTGTGTTACCACCGACAAGAATATCAGGTGCAGCCTCCTTAGTCAAGCATAGACTTGTATGTTCCATAAAGAGTGAAGAAGCTTGTCCATCAACTCTCCTAATCAGATCCCCATTCAAGTTTCCAACATTTCCATTGGGCAAAAGAGTGTTATTCTGGAAGGGCACCTTCCTGCCACCATCTGCATCAACCAGGGAACACTCTAACACATCTGAACTGCAAACTATTGCCTCTGTGAAATTTTCTAAATTGATAGAACTAACTAAAGCACCTGATAACTTCTCATCATCACATTTACCTTGGAGACTGCTCACATCAGCTTCTGTCACACAAGATATGTTGTCACCATGGCCTTCTACAGCTTTATAATCAACAGGCTTACTTGACCCATTTCGCTTATATGCAACAAACTCTGGCTTAGGAGAAAGACAACCCTTGGAAACAGTTCCAACACGCTTCAAACTTGGGCAAGCCTCAGACTTAACTGAGGCCCTTACATTAGCTTTATTTTCCACACTCTCAGAGAACGAATCTCCACAGGAATCAACAGTAGGCACATAACTTGCCTCACTGGTGGCATGCTGCAACATGCTGGATTTTCGACCTTTAAGGAACAGAGAATCCTCCCTGTTAACGGAATTCTGGCTTATTTCAGCTACATGGCAAGTTTCGTCAGAATATTGATCACCCTTGGATCCCATACAGGCTAGCTTCCTATGCATACAAGATGAACAAGGAGTGGAGCAAACGTTACAGGTTCCAGATTCCACTCTGGTATGAGCCTTCGAACGCATTGATTGGTTTTCTGTGCTTTCCTCAGCCTGTGATGATACTGATCAAACCTGGGAAAAACAAAACGAAAATAAAAAAGTTGAATAATACCACCTTAAACAGAACACATCTTCAATGAGAGCAAATGATAAAATGGATAAGTAAGAACTCAAACAAATCCAAGTGACAGAATTATTCAAGTTTATGGATTCCTATGCTTTACCACCAACAAAAATTAATATATTCAGAAAATGTAGGGCCTCATGCTTGAACATGTAAAGGAATGTGCAACTCAAGATTCCACTGAAAGTAAGAGGACTCTCAAATTAGGTTCCACTGAAACAACACAAATGCGAACTTCTAAGAAGAATAAAACTAAACCACAAGCAAGGGGAATGCCATTACTATTATGAAAGCTTCCAACTTCCAGCCAAAGAATTCTTTATGACAAGAGATCAGGTTTCGACAGTGGCACGATCAGGGATTCAAGTAGCCTCAACGACTGAATTCAGCTAACTTGATATCTGTCGTAAATTAATAAATATTCAACTAAAATTATCATGTTTGCACCAAAGAATTCCGAGGCGGCCTTCGACTGAGCATCTGGGATCCAAACCATAACCTTCTTCCAATCATAGACCCAGCTTCATCAAGTAGTTGGTTCAATTTGAAGCTTTCACAACAGCAAAAATGCAGTAAACACGAAAGAGTGTAAAACGCAGAACTTTGATGAAAGGCAATGCTTCCTGAAGAGCATGTTAAATGAAGGCAAGGTGTTTCAAGCTTAGTGATGTAATGGAAATCAACAAATGGATCGTGGGATAAACACAATGAATCAATGGGCAGTAACAAGAATATTGGAGGACCAGAATCAGGTACATGACAGTACAAGCACACATAAATTCAGAAACAAATAAACCCCACACAAATGATCTTTTAAGTATTTATACAAAAATCGAACATTTAAAAACAGGGGAAAGACATAAGCTTGCAACTACAGAAAGACTTGGAACAGAACTTGAGTCACCCTCCCCACTCACCCGAATCTTAATATCCTGCTTGGGTTCATCAAACTGCCGCTATGTTCAGTAACTCCTTTTCAAAACTCAAGTGACCTACAACACACATCAACAAGTCATCGATTACAAGTCTAGCTACTTAACTAGGATGATAGGACGAAGAAATAGCGTTCACAATGGATTGGGAAGGCAGAAAACATTGCTACAACCATAAGCACGCAAAGCATAATCTGGTCCAAAGGAAGAAGAGAGTCCAGAAGCAGGTCAAAGATACAGTGGGGAACGGCAGAGAGAGACCCCATGGCAATCAGTATTAACCCCAGCCGACTGACAAATGCAAAAAACGGGTAATTTGCTGGTTACCCATTACAAGATTGGAATTTTTCAACCGAACAAACAGGGGAATAACGACTGCATTGAATTATAATCAGATTGCAACCAGGATAGCCAATGGGAACAATAAGAATTCACCAAAATACAAAACCCTAATCCCATTGAGTCTTGGCACCAGTAAATCATCGCCGCCACATTGTAGAACTCTGACATCCCCCTCGAGGACACGTTCACGCGGCAGCAGGAACTCAATCGAACAACCAATTCATCGCCTCCCCTCCCCTTCTCCTTTCCTTCCGTATCGTTCCTACCCCTCCCTCTCCATCTACCTCCCTCCAATGGATAGCCAAATGAAATCACGATGGCCAGAGAGTTCCCCCGTACCTAGGTTAAAACGATTGCTCTCTTCTTCCCTTACCTTCTCTAAATGAAACCAAAAACACTTGCCAAACAAGAGAAAAATCAAGGCCGTACCCCGTAGACGATCTGATACATATACACAACAATAAAGACGCGGGACGCAATAAAAATACAGACAGCACCGCAAGTAGCAATACGTACGGCGGAAGAATTGTTTCAACACAACAATGGGGGAGAAAAAAGTTATCAATCTGTCTCTCAGACAAACTCCCCCTAAATTTGCGATGTCTGAATGCAAATGATCAGAAAGGGGGAAAATCGGGGTTGTTCAAATCCTTACTCTGTCATCGTCGTCGTCTTCTTCCTCGTCCTGCTAATTCAACTCTCTCTCTCTGGCCTTTCACTGTATAGTTTGTTTAGCGGAGCTATCTCTGTTGTTAAAAGGGGAGGGGGAAATGCAAAAGAGCAGTAAAAGAAAAAAAGAAAAAAATTTTGATAATAAATTAATAATCAATCAATCACCCAAATCCATTTCTTGCTCTAGATTTTCTCTCTCTCCTTCTCTGGTCAGTCTACTCCAATTTTGTCAAATTGAGCATTGTTCTAACAATTAGAATGGTTCAAGCAATGGTACAACTGATTCGTACCAATTTATATCGATATAACAAAATATGTGAAAATAATTAATATCAAATGGATTTAATCATGTATAAAACATATTTGAAAACAATTACTTACGAATCATTTTATATTTAAATAAAATATAACATTTTAAATAAAATAACAAATACTCATATTTAATAAAATATTTAATGTCAATTTTTAATTTTTATACCTGAATCCAATAAATATCATCAATATTTAAACATTAACATTCATGAAATAAATAATAAACTAATTTTTTAAGTTTTTCAATTATTGACTCAAATCCATTGTCAAACTCTTAATTAAATTCGCTAAAACAATGTCATTTTGCTTATTGATCGTAAATCGATCGTTACCGATGGTGTGCATGTCGATTTCATGATCGTTACCGATTGAACCAGGTTCAACCGGCTTGCATGCCACCGGCATAACAGCCATGGTCTACTCTCTACTGTTAACAATTTGTATTAAAAAAAGTATTACTTACTTCTCTCTCTCTTCTCTTCGGTATTAAAAAGTGTATACAAATTTGAAAGCCTAATACCAAGAAAAGGCATATAGTTTAGGTTTTGTGCCAATTTTTTCTAAAAAGTGTATACAAATTTGAAAGCCTAATACCAAGAAAAGGCATATAGTTTAGGTTTTGTGCCAATTTTTTCTTCATATTTTTATACGACAATTGTGTCCTAAAATTTTATTTCCTTTAATTGTGACAATTAGTGGTCAACGGTCAATGTATTCTTTGATTACGTCACCTAGGGAAAGTAAAATAAAATAATACTTAGGAAAAGTAATTTTCCCACGGTATGTTGCTTTCAGCAAGGAGTGGTTCATGACTTTTATGGGGGTGGAGAATATCATACATGATTGTGAGCTTCTCAAATAGGGATCGTGGTGGCAAGTTGGCTCCGGTACCAAGGTTCCAATCCAGAGATCACACTTGTTACCAATTACCAAGGGTCCACCAAATCAACTGCAGGTGCTGTCAAGTATCCATTATCAAGGGGAATATGTTTCTGCGTTATGTGGCCAAGATGATGGGCTACAGTCCATGAAATTTTTGCAAAGTTTCCCCTGAGGTCATAAAGGGTATATTGTCTATATTGTTGCCTAGATTGCCAATGAATGATAAACTTGTTTGGCAAGAAGATCCACTAGGACAATACACTGTAAAGAAAGGGTATCGTTTGGTCGTAAGAAGTCGAGAGACAAGAAATTGGAGGACAGAGGTGGGTTGGATGAATCATAAGTTGTGATGGCAGTTTGGGATTACTTGATTCCACTTAAGCTTCAGTTCTTTCTGTGGCAAATATTTCGACCTATTCTCCCTATAACGGAAGGCTTTAATAAATAAAGATTGGTGGAAGTCTTAATGAGATGTCTGGTTTGTTGCGCGAAGGGGGAAACTACAAAACAGTTATTCATTTCTCGTCCAGAGGCGTGTGCATCTGTGGGAGGCCTCAGGCTTGCACTCTTCTATGGACGAGATGGATAAGACAAATTTTACCATCTTCTTCTGACAGTTTTTTACAACAAAGTTCCATGGTAGATACGGTGATCCGAGTGGTGTCTTTGCTCTGGAGTATTTGAAAAGCGCGCAATTGGGTGGAGTTTGATTTCAAACAAGTCATGCTTTCAGTATTAGTGTGTCATTGCTAGTCATAGGTGGTAAAGTAAATGGCATCCCGATTCAGGGGGCAAAGACGCAGACAAGTGTGACCAGTGGGCTCCTCACCACCAGTGTTTTTTTGTAAACAGTCAGAATAATGGGTGTAGCCCATGATGTGACTAAGAAAGTCTTTCTTTGTCTCAAGTCTCTTTGGGTAGTTTTAAAATTTTGCACTTGGCTCCGTACTGCGTGGTGAACGTTCTATGTTTTTCTTCTTGGTAATACAAGCGATCTTTGGTTAAAAAACAAACAAATTACCAACAAAAAAAACACCTCAACCCTAGCCTCTCACTTCTCTAGAAAAATTATCTCCTCTCTCATCCATTTACCAATCCTTCCGATGAATCGGATTACCTTCGTCCTTCACCAGTGGCATAGCCAGGAATTTTGTTAAGGTGGGTCGAACAACGGTATAGATCTTTGTGAATGGTTAGCATCAAACGGCAGTCCACAACCCAACTCACATGTAAATAACTCAAACTATCATTTGAACAACCATCAAACTATCATTTGGACAACCATTAAATCTAACTGTCAAGTTCAACGAAATATAGGTGTATAAATGGCGCAGACCTTAAAAGTATAAAGCATAATTGTCGTATTGAAAACATACGTACAAGGCGTGTTTCATATTTTCATCTATATTTTGTTATTTTTCAACAATGTAGCATTGTTACTTCTTTTTATATTTATTATAACTCTTTATTATCTGAGATTTGTCACATAGGAGGACTGCCACATTTAGCTTGGGTTTGGTCAGGATTAATGATAATGAGAGATAATAAGAGCCACAACTTCATCACTAGTTTGGAGATCATATTCATGATGATCTTATCTTTTATTGGCAAAAAAATTCCAACTTCAAATATTGTACATGGTTTTTCATGTATTTTGTCTTTCAAGTATCCAAATATTTTGGCTATATATTATGAGCTCCTAACATTTCTTTCAACCCAGTGATAACAAATTTATGTAGTGGATTCAAAGTATCATATGTGATGTCGAATGAGAGTCAAGTTTCAACTTATTTCTCCATTTGATGAATGTATAACTCAACAAACTTTAGAGTTCAATATTCTGGTGGTAGTAGACTGCCTAATCAATCATACATTTGTCCCCATGTTGATACGTATAATCCATGTCCATCATTCAAATTATGATTGACTTGTCATCCATAGAACTAAATCCAAAAAATACCATTGTAGATCCTTATGCACTCTCAAAAAATACCATTGGATATACTTTCCTTATTTGACATAACAACATTAGAACATTCACATGTCTTTAAAGGAGGTTCAAGAGTGAAACATTCACATGTTTAGTAACTAAACACAAAAAAAAAACATCCTTTAGATAGACAAAAAGGGAAGATAATTGCATTTCATGAGCATATAATCAAAGTGTAGTTGCAGTCCTACACAATCGGCCTATAAAGGTTTGATTCTACATTACCTTTAACGTTTTATGAATGATATCAAAATTAGAACATTGACATAACAACATCAGAACATTGACATGGCCTTGGAGGAGGTTCAAGAGTGAAACATTCACATGTTTAGTAACTAAACACCCAAAAAAGAAACATCATTTAGATAAAGAAAAGGGGAAGACAATTGCATTTCATGAGCATCTAATCTAAGTGTAGCTGCAAACCTGCAGTTCTACACAACAGACCTATAAAGATTTGGTTCTACATTACCTTTAACATTTTATGAATGATATCAAAATAAAAATTTATATATATATAAACACTTCACGTCCGTGTCACATTACCATCAATATTACTTCAATAACCAATGAATCACAAATATGGCAATGGTAAGAGGTGTAATGTTTTTCCTCGTAGCTAAACTGTCCATCATCGTTAGAACTGCACATGCTTTACCTTTCTTGTTGTATCGTGCAGGTGAGGTTTGTCATAGGCATTATAACGTACATTTTATATGACTTAGCTTCCTATATGCATAATGGCGGTTCTAGGACCAATATTTGGTGGATAGCGTTTTGTAATATTTTGAAGCACAGCGAAATAGGAGATATAATAACTACTCTTTTCCCAAATTTCCCGCCTACTTACTACAATACCCTAGCTTTAAAAGAGTAAAGCTGGTGATATTGTTCTTTTCAGAGTTGTAAATATTGTTGTTTGCTATTGGGTGTCATCTGGGGGTGTACTGGATAATCTATAGTCGAAACTGTCTAGGAGCAGGGGTTAGGTAACCAAATCCTGGAGTGCGAGCGAGAGAGGATGCGAGAGTGGGAGAGAGTGTTGGAGCGTCAGAGTGCCTAATTTTCAAGAATTTGATTATGAGAGCATCGTGAGAGTGACATTATTATATTTTTTTTATTAATCATTTATACTTTTGTATAAAATAATCATGCAAAAAAAAAATATATGAAAATGAAAAGGAGAAAAATTGTTAGATTTACATTAGGTCAAGCTACCTAGTTGAAGCCCAACAAGAACATAAAAGAAAATGAGGGTCACGTCAAATTAAGTTCAATATAATATTATTTAAATAATTAAAATTTGATAAACAATTGATGCAATCGCCGACTTAAAAGTAACAATTATTAACTATCAATAATTTCTAAAAATGTAATAGTTTCTTACTATTTCACAGGATATCTTTGTAAATTTTTGCACATGTAAAATTATTAAAAATGTAATAGCTATGACTCATATGGGTATTGGGTTGAACTCAAATTGACCTAAATTCTTTTTAAATTATTTTGGGTTGAGTTAGGTCTAATTGAGTATTATTTGGGCGGACCCAATGAGTGCATTAGGGTATTAACAAAACAAATATGACATTTACTTTTTTGCTGGACGGAAGGGAATGTCCATGAGAAACAAACCCTCTGCAGCTCCAGGGCAACTGCAGTTTTGAGTTCCAGATCTCCGATTACAGTCCGACCGACTGCCAGAACTAGATGCCCGGATCCACCAAATATCTTCACGGGAACCCATGACTACACCACCAACAAAATCAATATCAAATTCATCACCAACAAAATCAAAATCAATGAACACCCGATCCACTTGGAAGAGTAATACGATCCGGAGCTGCTGCCTTTAAGGGTGATTTACGTTTAGAAACACTTGTCGAAGCTGGGTGGGCCCTTGCGGAGCGTATGCTAATTAAAATGACAATCAAACTAATACGAATCTACCAATGATAGCAATATGAATTTCTGAGCCAGCAGAGGGCGGCAGCCGAGAGGAAGTTCTTCCACCTGGTGGAGAATACGATGACGCTGGAGCACGAAAATCGGATCGTTTGCATGAAGTTGGCGACGAGATGAATCAATCTTTCCGCGTGGTTGTTTAAAAGTTAGGAGAGACTACCGGAGAGTGACCAAACTTGAACTATTGAACTTATCTTAATGATAGTGAATGGAATAAAGTAATTTTAGTGGCAGACGTGAAATGTTTTAGTATTCTAGTGACCAAACTTGCGATTTACCCATTTATTATTGTTTCAATTTAATCCCCATCTTGAAGTTGCAAGCAGACCAAGCATGTTTTTCCAAAGACGACGTTGTGGCGTAGAGGGGAAGTTTTGCTATTTTGGGTCGTGGTGTGGAGAAGGAGAAGACCCATTTGGATTTGCAGATTCCCTTTTTTTTTTATTTTTTATCTAAGAGTTTGGGCTCAATTTGGACCCACTTTAACTAATTGGGTATGAGTCCACCCAAAATTAAACAAGACTCATACCTAACTTTACCCATATTAATTTGGGTTTGGGCAATACCCATATCTAGGGGTGAACAAAACCACCCAAAACCCGACCCACCCAGCCGATCCAACCCGACCCACCCGGAAATTAGTAAAAATTGGAGGTTAAGTGGCGGGTAAAGGGCTTGTGTGTGGGGGATATATATATATATCTGATTGGATCCGGATTTGGGGTGGCGAAACCCGTCAAACCCGATCCAACCCGACTTTGAATTTTGTGTATGTATATAAAGAGAGGTTGACCTAAAATCTAGGGTTTCTTTTCCTCTTCATCTTTCGAGCTTGAGGAAGCTCTCTTCCGTCAAACCTCCAACCTCCAATAATCCACAATCAGTGACTAGAAATGCCCCCATCCACCACCAAACATCACCTGGTCCATCATTAATAGCTTTATGCCACTCAACAATCATCATGGAAGCTTAACTCTATAATCGCCTTCTCAATTCCTTTTCCCCTGCTTCTTCTCCAACCAAAGGCAACCATCACTGAAGGCTAAAGATTGAAGGCCATCGGCCATCGCAGTAGAACCTGTGCAGGCACGACCGCTCAGGCGTGATAGTTGTAGCAGGAGTTGATTTCAACTCGTTCCAAGGTGGTTGAGAGTGTGCTATTTTAGGGTTTTGTTCTTTCTTTCACGAATTAAGAATCTGAGCCGGCTAAGGTTGCTGCTTTGGCGTTCTGTTACATGATGTTACTCTGATTTGTTATTGTTCGCCCCTACCAATTACCATTAGGCATACTGACAGAAGTTTGTTGCTGTGAGATCCCATCAGGATTTGCTCAAAATTGCTAGAATCTTACTGAACTGCCTTATGAAAGTGTAGTGTAAATCATTAGTGAAAAAAGCATGATTTAGGGAAGTTGTGTGGGCAAGGGATGTATATGTTGTCGTTGCTGCTATCTCTTTGTGGGCCGAACAAACCAATCCCCCCAAACCTTGTGTTTTGTGGGCAATATTTGTTAACTTTGTCCTGTAATCTCTAGGATTACCAACTCATTGTTGAGTTGTATGCACTTTCTTCCCCTAATTTCTCCAGTTAACCCTTTCATTCTTTTACCTCTTAGATTAAGATTGATCTAATATATAGTGTTTTTATTTATTATACAGATGGATAGAGAGGTTCCTACCATGAATGAAGGGGACATAGCTACTGCTACAGAGAGTAGGGGTGAAATCGAACCGAATTCTGCTGTTGTTGGCACTATTCTACATTGTGAGAAGAAGTAAAAATGCTGGTGGAACAGTATTAAAGCATGAATTTTTGCACCTTAGGTGTTCTGCTCACATCTTGAATTTGATTTTACAAGAGGGAATGAAAGAATTGGATGATTCAGTCATTAAAATTAGAAATGCTGTGAGGTATGTTCGGTCTTCTCCTGCAAGACTATTGATTTTTAAGAGATGCATTGAGATGGAAGAGATAAAATTCAAAGGATTAGTTGGTCTTGATGTTGAAACTAGATGGAATTCAACATATGTGATGTTGAGAGCAAGTCTTGCTCCAAGAATGGTTGAGGCACTTGTGTGTACTCAAAATTGGTTGCGTTCAAAGCCACTTATAAATGACTCAGAGGCTGTTCCACTCGATGCTCTTTCAGATCCAAATGAAGATCAAGCTAATGGTAATGTGCTGATTTTTTTGAGTTATTTCCTTACATTGACTACTTTTCATTTTGAAGTAGCTAACCATTTCCCTTTTCTGCCAGACTTCTTGGATTCAAGTCCATTCATATTGACTGAAGATGATGGACTTATTATTGATGCCTAGATAGTAAATGGTGATTAGATGGTTTAATTTTATAGAACTTTTATTCAAGTTCGTTCATTTACTAATACTAATATATATGTTGCTTTACAAATTTTGTAGGAGCTCTTTTGTACATTAACATTGCTGCTGCTGTAAAGCTTAAGTGAAGATGCTGCTGTATAGTTTAATTGAAGACGGGAAGATATCATGTACTTTTGTAAATGCAACATTCTTCTAATGATGGAAGAGTATTAAACTCTTTTAGTATTGGCTGCTAAAATTGCCAGGTTTTTGAGATGCAAACAGCAGTTGATGTTTATTTAGTCTCCCTTTATGTGTTCTAATAGGAATGATGTATTGAAGATACTATTTGGAGGAGGATGTCTAGTTTATTATGAATCATGTATTGTTGCTATAAGTTACAGATGTATCTTTGTTAAATTGAAGGAAAAAGTGAAACAGGAGAATGCCAAAATTTTACTAAATTGAAGCAGGTGATATCTTGTATTGGGTTGGTTTTCTATGGATGCATGGTCCAAATTAAACCGACCCAACCCGAAGCAAACCGACAGCGTTTTTTATATTAATGGGTGGGTTTGGGTTTGACATTGTTCAAACCGTAGTCTATACAACGGGTGACTTAAATGGTTCAAACCCGACCCACCCGACCCATGTACACCCCTACCCATATCCTAGGTCTTTTTTGCCATCCCTAGCTACAACTAACATACAAATCCTTATGATTCGCGTTGACTATGAATCATGATGCCAGAGCTAAGCGAAAGGTTGAGGTTTTAATTGACTTGTATTACTGCAATAGGTAGCGATTTGCAGCATTGCAACACAAACAAGACGCCAACAAAATCGAGGATGGACTTTCCACTTGTAAAAAACGCGCTCCATCATTAATCAAGTCATGCTAAATTTTTTTTTAGTTTACGAATTTACACATCTTCGTCCCAGTTTGCGGTTTCACGCTCTAGAGTGCGAGCATGTAGGCTTATGGGACGAATCAGGTCTCTCAAAGCAGGGGCTTCCAAAAACGGACCAAAACCGTAAAAAAGGAGCCATAAATGACCTGGGTTGCCAAAAAAATTGCTCCTGTGCTCCCGCATTTTCGAAGTCCTGCACAAACGAAGCTAGAATACTAGGTGAAAAGCAACATCTAGTGTGTTGGTATTTTAGGAACAAAAGAAATTAAGAAAAACTTAAATTACAAAGGTACAACTCAAGATCTCTTTACTACGATCGGTTAGAATCCCTGGAAACACCGCCAAAATATAATCGGTTGTAGAAGATAGTCAAATTTAACCGAGTAGATACGAAGGCTACTCGTATCGTATTCTCGTGAGGTCTCTAGCCAATCTACTACTTAAGATCGGAAGTTGCATCCCAGGTTTTGCAAAGCACTAAAATTGAATAAACGAAAAAGAACTAAATTGAAATAAAAGGGAAATAGTAAATCAAACAGTAACAATACATAAACAAGAAAATAATCCATATTATGTTCCTCCCAGGTCTGATAGATTTCTATGTCGTGTGAGTTGTCTGATCCTTATGATGGAATTTCATCCTACCTTATGTCTAATGTTTATTAGATCTAGTACGCTATAGTGGGTCCTACATATTTATCTCTTGATGAGTTGTAGTAGGTCAATCGACTGGGTACCGATTGGAACTTGTGAGAGATGGTCATGTCCAGACTCATCTAAATGCAAAATAGATTCCAAGCTATCAACACGTGAGAAGATATATTCGATGCAGTATGCAACCGTATTGGCAATAGATCATCCAAAGACATCAAACAATCATCACATAATCAAATAAATTCATCATCCCTAGGGTTCTACATAATCTAAATAATCTAAGAGTTTAGTTATCCATGAATACCAAAGTTTTCTTAAGTACAAGAAAGAAGGATGTCACCATGATCCTTTCCTTCTTGAATCTTGGCTTCCTTATCGTTTTGAGTATTTGAGAGCTTCTCCAGGTCGTACCCTAGTGACTAACCCTACTGAAAATGTCCAAAGGATAGAGAACACTATTGCTCCTCAAAAAATTATATTTTATGTGCGTCTCCCAAAATGGCGTGATTTTGTCGGTCAAATCATCATTTCGCTCTTCTGATCGCCATTTTTGTTTGCTCCCCATTTAGTTAACTTTGAGGGTTGCTTCCACTTCTAGGTCCTCACACAAAACACACAGTTCATGGAAACGGTGCGCGGGCCGCCAATTGGCCTTCAAGTCGCCTAAATCTATCGTCGTTTTGGGTTCGAGGTCAAATCTTCATTTCTTACTTTCAGGAGCCTGATCTTGACAGGTCCAACTCGTGCAAGGTGGTTCACTAAGGTACTTTTAATTGAAAGTACATGAACTTATCCAAAATGGCATAAAAAGAGTAAAAGTAATCATAGGAGCTACTAAACACAGCTTAGAGCATTTATCAAGCAATTCCAAACTATCATGACATTAAAAATGTGAAAAGTATGCAAAACGTGTCATTAAATGTGTTAAAAACAATATAATTTGAGTGTCATGAGTTAGCATATAGTAATTGATAGATTTTGATCGAAAATGAAGTTGCTGGAGATAAAAATAACTGAACCTAAAATTGGGTATGGAAAGAGCCCTTAAAGGCTTGAAAGCAAAACCATGGGAAAGCAGACCCACACATGATCGGTGGCAGAGACAAATATTACAGAGTAAAGACAAAACTATGAGATGGTCGAAATGAGTCCCTAAGCAAAAGACGTTATCTGAAAGCAGTGTTACCATTTTTGGTGAAAGCAAAGCTAGACAAGAGAAACAAATAGTGAGAAAGCCATAAATGGAAATAAGACCTAGGAGACGTTAAATATGTAGGCAATGCCTAATCTTGCATTAATGGTCATGTTTATATCCCTAGTATAAATAAATATCAGTCATGTTAAGAGAAAGATAAGAAATCTCAACTAGAAAATATTGAGTCTCTAATTTTTTTAGAAAACAAGAGAAAGAGTTGCAATGCCCGAAGGTTAATTGAATGTGTGAAATCCATAACATCCATTGATTTGTTCTCCTCCTTGCCACATATTATTTCTTTCCTTTCAGTATCGAGATGTACAAAAATTTCTCATTTCCTCCAATCTTTCTTACAATATATTTAAACACACTATTTTTCTTTGCCCTCTCCTTCGCCCTATCATCCTTCGTCTTTCTCCTCTAAACTTCTCATTCTCCTTTATGTTTGTATAAAAAAAAAATTCGCAACTAGTCAAAAAGTGATTTGTTGGTGCAAAAACCACAAAAGAGGTTGGCCTGACCCACAAAATCCTATAAAAAAGATTTAAAACATAATTTTTTTTTTATTTAGAACTGAATGCAAAGGAGAGATTTTGAAACTATGCCAAATGTTATGGTACAATCGTTGAGGGTGGATACCATGTATGTGGTACTTGTGTTGAGGGAAAGATTGTTATGGTACAATCCAATTACCACATTGATCTGGGCTACTGTTCTCAATGCAATTTTTATCCGATGTGGTGATAGATCTGATGATAGATATCGTTAAATCCTAATATCTTTTCGGCAAACATAATTTTGGAATGTCTCCTTATTTAATTTATTTATGCTGGATCTGTTCCAACTTTCGGTCTTCCACAACTGCAATTTCAGAAACCCGGCTTTGCTTTTGCGGCGAAAGAGAAGCGATATCAGAGGAGACATGGGAAAGCATCGATTCGTTCCAGTTGGAATAAGAAACATGCCTCCCTCTCGTGTCGTACATCGATTCCTCTTCGCATTTCCTTGGCTGCTAAAGCGACGAGGGCTGACGGCAATGATGAGGACGACGACAGATACGACTGATGGAGACGATGAGGACGACTACAAATTTCAGACGAGCAAATCCTCCACGTCGGGTGCTGGCTTTGGATTTCGAATTATGGAGCGGGGAGTCTTAAAGCGACGACGGTGTTGGGCGATAGATTTGGTTTCTGACGAAGACTTGTTTGGAATGGTGACGGTTGTGTGTGAATTAAAGAATACGCCTCTTGTTAGAGTTCGATTCGAAAGGAAGATTTTCGATGGAGATCTAGGGAAGAGGCTCGACAATCCCTCAATTTTGTGTTGTCGCTAATCATTGTCGATTCCCCTTGTTCCTCCCTTACCTCCTTCTTCTGCTTCTACTCCCCCTACAATCCCGCCAATCCTTTTCCCTCACACCGCTTCCTCTCTCATCCGGTCCGATGAAGCAGATAAGCTGCGGGAGGCAGGGTACGGTGAGGTAGGAGGGGTCTTTTATTTTATTTATTTTGTTAAGTGAGATGAAAATTAATAAAAATTATATTTAAAATTTCAAGTCAGATGTCATGTCAATGCTGACTAGACTTTTTGTTAAATATTAACGGTCAACGTCGGTCAACACTATCGAAACAATAGTTTAGGATAGAAATTGAATATTTAATAAAATATGACACAAATGACATATTTCAAATAGTTCAAGTGTTGTAGTGGCATTTTCCCTAATATTTAAATGGATTTACGAATGACATCTTAAGCAGAGCGAAATACAAATGATTGGGAAAAAGTTGGTTGTGTTTGTTGAAGGATAAATGGTGGAATGAGAAATAAAATTTTGGAAATGATAGTGGGTTGAGCGGAAAAGAAAAAAGAATTTTGCGAATAATAGCGAGTTGAGTTGCAAAAAGGGTAGGCGAATCCTCTTCATTAAAAAAAAGTTAATTGTTGTCAACCTTGTTGAAAGCTATTTATGTACATAACTCAAACTTATGCACAATGCACAAACCATCCCTTTTAACTTTTAACATACTTTATCTCATTTGTTTTAACTCAGGTTAACATGTTTAAGAATAATAAAATATTAAATTAATATACTCTAGAAAATAACATCCATCGTGATATATTGTAGAATATAAAAAACATGCCATTGGAATGATCATAAATCTTTTTAATAAAAAATAGAGAAGTAATGACGTACCACGATATAGTGAGATACATAAAAAGAGAAGTATACTCATTACCAACATCCATACCACTTCACCACATGAAAGAACGATTAAAAGCTCATATTATTTAGTACAACAAAGGACCAAGTCTACAAAATATAATGACACAATTCTTCAGGGTGATCAATTTAAGGGGGTCCAAGTAAACAAACTTCCACAATTGTCAATGCATCATATCCTCTTTTTTCACAAAACTTTTAGAACTTTATCATTTAATAGAAGGACTCATCACACAATCATTTCAAAATAATTTTGACTCATTAAACAACCTAATAGTATGTTAAAGTGAAATATTTTATTCGCTAATAATAACTTCCTGAACAATTTGTCATTTGTCTGTTTAAAATATTTGTTCAAATAATTTGCATACAAATACAACAATTATATTTCTAACTTCTTACAAGTTTAACACGAACAGTTTACCCACAATTAGGACAAGCGATAATATCACATTAGATATGCCCTCAAAAAATATCATAAACTAATGACATGA